TACATATATTCGTATCCGTGACAAGATGTAATTAATTAGGTGAATGACCGAACCAACTAACCTAGTACTCGCGACACTTTCCAATTTTGTAGTAGATTGGCTGAATGCAACCAACCCAGTACTAGGTTGGTTGGTACAGTCACTCACCTAGTTTACTACAGAAATACATTTGTCACTCGACTTCCACCTTAAGTTGAATCCATTGTTGCTCTCGTGGAGTCATACAGTGCCCTCACCGTAGTTACAATCATCCTTCCATTAATAGGATTATGGCATCCGTTCCATTTCCCAATTTGTTTGTATTGAATTATCTTCCAATCACAATCAGTCTATTTGCAGTTTTTGATTACACGATACTTCTGCTGAGGAGGTACTTGTACATAGTAGTTGTGCGTGTCAGCACCTCAATTTTTTTTTGACTTCCTTGTGAGCATCAGCACCTTGGTGTGCTTGTCTTAACGCCCACCCGTTTCATCTCCTCTGTTCCCCTTACCTGGTCGTGTCTCTGAAAAAGAGTCTCAATCATTTACTGATGTCAGGATATGATTGATGCATGTCAACGTATAATGCCTCTTGATCCTTCCTATGCAGGTTCGACCAGAAGATTGTTTGTACCCATAGAACACACTTCTGTATACATACTCTCTTTAATCATGTCCATCGTATGAGCTCGCGTCAGTTGCCCGTCTAGCAACAAGTACTTTTTTTACGAAAAAAATCATAATCGGTACAATATGACTGGTTGAGTTCTACGTGTTTAATTGCGTCACAGTCGATGTCAGCTTCGCCACATATTCTTGTACCAAGACCGCTTGAAGCTCTGCGATTTTTGCGGACGATATCTATTTTATAGTTTTAATAGGGCTTTGATAAGTTCTTGAATGTTCTTGATAGGTTAGCCACACTGCCGGTGTCGGTTGGCTCTTGTCTGTCTTTTCGATCCAGTCGGCAAGCAGTTGGCAACTTGCCTATATCCCTGATGAACGTCTAGGTCTCCATTAAATCCTCAATTTGGAATACGCGAAATTCAGAGTCTGTGTTGGCTTGAAATTGTCTAGCCAACGATTGAAGTACATATTGGCTTTTCATGCTGTCTTACTTGATTATATTGAATGCCAAAGTTGCGTTGGATTCGTGTTGTTGCATCCTATCTATTAAGTATGTAACCAGTGTTTGTTTTGGAGGTTGCTCAAAATATAGTAGGCCTGCTTGCTGGTGGTCATGCAATCACACCACATCATCTTCTCCTGGTCCATACGCTCTATGTCCCTTCGTTCTCAGTGCTTTGATTGCTGGCGGTGACATACTCGAGACTATTCTTGCGTGGGGTTCTGGAGAGATTATCTCCACCGATGGCTCTTTGGAAATCGCGGCATCTGACAACAACAGAGAAAGCGGGTCCACAGACGCCCTGCTTGCACTTAGTGCATTTGAACTCGTTCCATTGGCTTTGGGGTAAATTCGCAGTCAGTCAATGCTTTTTGCTCAATCACCGCATTATATAATGTCATATTTTCGTATGTCAGCGAAGTGAGTTCTTCGAGATAGTCCCTAGTTGCCAACGACTCGAAAAATCAGCGTCCGTGAACAATCTTGATCCATAGTTTCGTATTGCCGCATGCATGATGTACCTCGGAGACACCTTTCTATCCGGCATCGTCTTGAGCAGGTCCGTAAATAGCACTGGGCAAGTCTAATGCCTGTCCTCTCATATGTCGCTTTGTACCCGTCTATCTCCTCCACTAGTTCCTCAGTCATTATTCCTTGGAATCCCAATTTAGCATGTGTTGCTAATGGGAGGCGTCTAGGGATTCTCGGTATCTCGATACAATAGTCATCAGCCCAACTCAGTGATTCCATCGCACCAGTCTCGAGTCCCAGTTCTACTTCAGGCTCATGGTCGTCGTCTTCATTGTCGGCTCCTTCACATCAAAGCGTGAATCGCGCTCTTCATGTCACCGTATACGACACCTCCCGTGTTGAACGGTTGTGCAGGACATTTCTGTCTAGCCTTTTTCGTCAATTTTGGCCTCCCCCAACTACGTGCCCGATCCAGGCATGTCAATATTGCGCTTAGTCGCCTTTATAGCACTGATTTCACCTTCTAATTTCTCCGGAGTGTTTTCAACATCCTTAATTTCACATTCTCCGAAAATGACCTCTAGAGGGTAGTCTACTAGAATAAAATGCATTAGAACCTCGCCACACTCTATGCGCTCTGTTAACGGCGACGCCTTTTCCTATTTGGTGGTTTTTTCCTATAGTCGCAGATAGTTGTCTTCGTAGAAAAAGTGGCTTACAAATTTGAAAGGATGTAAAGTCGGTCTAACCAGGCTGACTATCTCGTACTATGGTAGCAGTTTAAGTAAATACGGCAGTTTCGGGTTTAGAGTTTTAGGATATATATATAATATTATGTATATGTATATACATATATATAGTAAACCTTTATTCGATAAGCTGGTCGAGATCACTTGTGGTATGCTCTCTCTAACCTATCCTTCACTTCTTATATGTCCAGTTACTTTTCCATCGCGTCTCTACTCAAGCCATCCTCCTACCACAGCCTCCACTCTGGTTCCTTCTCCCAGGAGATTGCATCGGACAATTAACCTGCACCACCTGGCATGTGCAGTCCTCCTCGTCCTCGCTATTTTCACGCACTGGCGTACTACGTTTCGTTGTATATAGCCTAAATATCTCACTCAGGCTACAAGTCATCAGCCAAGCGTTCCCATTGGTTAATAAAAATACATGCTACTGACAACTTGAAATCCATAGATTATCCCTATGGGTTTTACAGCATCATTCTAATTTTCAATCATTTGGGTATCTACATGCATGCTGTTGCTCGCACGTTAAAATAGGCTAAATAGTAGATTAGTATCCAAGCGCAATTGCAGCATTGTATTTATTTGGTAGTAGTTTGCTTTAGTAAAAGGCAAAGTATGCAACAAACAGATTTGGTTGTATTTTATCATTCACTCTCATGTTCATTTTATCTCGAATTTCGAATTTACTTGTGGCTTCATTTCGCAATGATATCTCATTTCGCAATGATATCTCATACAACACTCATTACTCAGAACACCATGCCGCTGTATATGTTAAATAATACTTTCCTGGTGGCTCAAGCCGGTATACATCATACGCACGCACCACTTCCGTGGCACAATGACACCCCCCGACTGTGGTGTTTGTTGCGCAAAATGAAGTCGTCCCGAAAATTCAAACTGAAGCATGAGTATCCACGCAATGTGTTCCAGGATTGCCTTCCAGGGATATATTTACATATAAATACATACATTCATACGTACACATACAAATATAGACTCATTCTACATACATACATACATACATAAGTATATATATATATACAAATGCGCAGGTGTGTGTGTGCTAGGAGCTTTCTAGCATAGAATCCCTACAACACAGAGAGAATGAGTGTAACCCCGAGTACTTGCGGAAGACCCTTGCCCCTGTCGATATTCTTTTTCAAACAATTACTGAGAGTTAGCTTCCTGCTTCCGATACGTAGAGACGTTTCACAGGAAGTTGTGTGGTATGTATTCTCTATTCCGCCATGGGTATGTCCACGCGTATGCAATACCGACCCAATATGGTAAGATCAGGGTGTCTGACTTTAAGGCCTGTCCGTGTCGACTTTAGCGAGAGGCAACAGTTGCACGGATGCTTTGATGTGGACGCTATTATCTGTTTTGTTCGCCATTGCTTGCTGTATAGGAATTTTAGTATAATGTAGTTGTGGGACAAGTGATGAGTGTAAATACGTGCCCTGGCACTCATAATGTAAATCAGAAGTTCTGCATATTTGACAAGAAATAGGATGATATCCTTCCATAAATCTGAAACCGTGAATGGGTAAAAAGAAACCAGAAGTATACATTGCATATATTTATATTTATTCGTAGTATGTAGTATATATCGTATAGTATATATATTGTTACAAGTACTATATGTATATGTACATGAGTACACACACACACACACACACGCACACACACACACATATATATATATTTATAAATATACATTGGTACATTTATGTACTTATATATACGCCTGCGCGTGTGTGAATATGCGAGGTATATATATATATATATATATATATCCACTCAATAAATATTCAAAGATAATCACACAACAAAGCTTTTCCAAGTGTAAAAATCATCGATTTTATACCTACCTGATACAGGAAGAAGCCGGCGATCGAGATGATGTACGCAACGGTCTGGATAGGTGTTACGGATTCTCCGAGGAAAATGGCACCCATGCACACCACAGCAACATTCTTGGCTTGTCCCAGGATCTTGAAAGTCAAGGAATTGGCCCTTTTAATGACCCCCATTGTCAACAAGTTACACGCGAACCCGCCCAAACCGGAGAATAAGAAGTACCGAGGGCTACACGCAACGGGATTGTCAAGTTCAGGAGAATATAAATCAGTCAACTGATCGGTAAATAGGGGAAACGATCTATCAGTGCTGATTCAGTTTGTGTCTTAATTGACATCCTATCCATAGGTGATTGGAGCATCGGGGTTTGATTTACTGCAGATACAGGTATTGTCACGTCAGTTTGCGCCAAAATTGACATAAAGCTCTGTACAAACCGATACATCCATACATACTCCCAATTACGAAAGCTGTGGTTCACCCTTCCGAAGGCGGGAATGTAATTTAAATAGCCCTCAATAGATGACAAGTGTGATAGATTCTAAATTGAAACGGAAGATAATTATGATATGTATGCATGTATATATATATCTGCATATCTACACACATACATACATACATACATATCTACCTATCTATCTATCTACATATATATATATATATATGTATTTATATATATATATTCATATACATAAATATACATATATAGCATACATGCTTGTTCATGATCAAGACGTACCTAGCCAACATAATGTTGTACGCCTCGGACTCGACAAACGTGCCGAGCTCAAAGGGCGCTGCCAGCACTATCAGACAGACGAATGTGATGGGGCATATGTGGTACAGGCCCTCAATAGGTCCCGAAAACTTCTTATCCAGAAGCACCTGCGTCAGCACACACTTCAGAGACTGGCGCGTGGTACGGGAAGGGGGATACAAAGACGTGAGAAGTGTGTGTTTTGATCCGTCCACGTGTGTCATGGTATGACAGGCAATACGGATGCATGCACAGGTAATTCAAAGGCAACATTGTCTATTGGGATATTAAGGTGAGGGTGTTGAGGTGTATACAGCCAGCTTTGAACAGCCTGTCTGCTGGGAGTAATTTAAATCGGGGCTGCCCCGATACTGGCAGCTTTGTAAAGTGCACGGATGGACGAAAAGGACCCACAACGGGAATGAAGTTGTATACTTGACAGGGAAGGTATAACTGAGATGGTGGATCAGAGCATATAATCGTTCATCAGTTGTATGTGCTCTTACGTTTTGAAAACGGTTCGATTAGACTTAGGTGCTCTTCAGAAACTAGAAGCGAATCGTCGAGCATCGGCCCTGTCTGTAATCTTCACCTGGTATATAGTATATATTTATGCACATCGAAACTATATATATACACACACACACACATATATATATATATACATATACATATATATGTGCATATACACACAATACACAGTATACACACACATACACACACATATATATATACATATATGCATATATACACACGCACACGCACGCCCATATATATATATATATATACATAGATGTATAGTATATGTATATATATATATATACTATTTATATATTCATATTCATACATATTCATACATACATACATATCTATATATATATATATATAGATAGATATATAGATATATATCTAGACAAACATACTTCGAACACCTCTGAAGCCATCATCAGCAGAAAACCGATCGTCGAGAAGTGTAACTCGCCGACAGCCGACATGGCACAGCCCAGGCAGATGACTCCCACAGCCACACTCAAGTCCTTGCGGACGGTCTCCAGGCCAAACAGCACCATCACCACCATCGTAGTTGCCGGTGTTCCGGCCTTGAGCATCTGTATGAATGCCACGGACAAATACATATAAACGGCGTTGCCGGTGGCGAGTGTGCCTGCGCCAAAGAGCCCAATGGGAACTACTGACTTGAGGTAAGCATCGGGGCGGTAGGTGACGTTTTGCTCTGACCAGCCTGTGTATGGGTGTGAAATGTGTGAAGGAGGAACTTGTGAGCATCGTGGTGTATCGGTGGGGTGAAACTGAAAGTCTTTACATCGCGGATCTGCAGTTTAAACAGACGGTGTATGAGGGGCTGTAAAGAGACGTTCAGGAATACGATACGATTTAAGTTCGATGTATTTTCCAATTGTCATGGTACAGGATTGCGTGTACATCGATAACCCTACCACCACAAGATTGAATGGTTCACATAACACCCACGGGAGTCCTTCAGTGAGTGACATAACACAGCGGCGATAAAAAAGTACTGAGACTTCCATTCTCGACTACGAATACTTTTCTACCTGGACTTTATGGATATGCTAGCTGGCAGAAAACCGCACTCGAGGCGTGCTTGAGTTTCTAATAGAAAGACTCGAATGATTCGGGTGCAACAGCACTGTAGGCAGACCTACGTGCTCAGCTCAGCCCAAGTTCCTTCTGGGGTTCGAATTCAGAAACTCGCTACTGAAACCCTTATTTGACATTGGCAATGTAAGGATATTTTAAATAGCCACTCAGATAAAAAACAGGGACTACCAGCGTCGTGTTTTGCCGGATCCGAGTCGACCTTGGTGGAAGCTAGTGCTTTACTTAACGTGCTCTTGGCTCCCCAATCGGTGGATTCATTTCTTTTCCTTTCCGCGTACGTACAGTGAAATGTACCACGAGACAACCGAACACAAAATCGGCACAAGTATTTGTTCTACTACCTGAAGTGATATATATACAGATCGGTCCAATGTTCTATTACCTGAAGTGATATATATACAGATCGGTACAATATCGTACCCATGTTTATTGCCAGAGCAGCCAGGATACTGGAGGAGAATTGCCCCAGGCTACAAAGAATAATGGGGAACCTGGAAGACAACAATAATAACAAAAACATAAATTTGATAGATGTGAATATGTGAGAGAATGGCATGTGTGGAACGCTGAACTGCATCAATGCGACGCATACGGCAGATGTGACAAGTGCAAAGTGTGAGTTTGCAATGGAAAAAAGAACAGAGGGGCCGAGGCAAAGAAGGTGCATGAGGACAACGAGATTGTATGCGACTAATTTGCCTGCATCATACTTGAGGTACTTCGTGACAAAGATCTTAGACTTAAACATTCTATACATCGGGAACCTGAATCGGATTTTATAATAGGAGGCTGCAGGCTGGAAAATTAGGCTAACATGCGCAGTAGGTAAGAAGCTCCTAAGTGGCATGAGAAGTCTGATTCTAGTTCTCAAATGATGGATACCACCATAGTAAGTTATACATACCCTCACAGTACTGGGCCATCTGTCGATAGGTACTTATCTTACTCAACGCATAAGTAACATGCAAGAAATCCTATTTTACAGGTACAGTGAAGTATACGGTAGCCATATGTGAGAAAATATATCAATAATGCAGGTGTAAATACGTAGGAATGTAGGTTAATGGCAACAGAAAATTCTATTTGGGGAAACGTTGAACTTCGTGAATTCAATAGGAACAACAAAATCAAAAGATGCTCTACTTACATATGTATATATATATATACCTATACATAAGTATAGATATGAATATATGAATATACATACGTATATACGAATATTCGAATATATATATATGTATATATATAGGTCATAAATATAATTGAATAAATACTTACACGTATATATATATACATAACATATATATATATATACACACACACACACACATATATATATATATATACAATAGTGGATACATATATATATACATACATACATACATACATACATGCATGCATATATATATATATATATATATACAAATATATGTATACATATATATATATATATATATGTACATATGTATACATATATAAATATATATTTACATAAATACATATACACGCGCACACGCGCACACACACATATATATACACACACACACATATATATATATATATACACACACACACACATATATATATATATATATATTAAAGATAGATACATAAATACTTATATAGATACAAATATAAATATAAATGTAGATATAATCTATACTTAAACACGTGCATATATATATATATTTATCATAATAATAATATTAATAAATAATAATAATAATAATAATAATAATAAATATTATTTATATATATATATATACATATATACATATTATATATATATAATATACAATA